GAGAGCCCAACCTTAAGAACTCATTAGACAAGCCCTAAAGAGCCAAGGACCATATTGAATCACTGCAGTTCAGGCAATGAGCCATCGGGGAACATTCCGAATGGAGCCTGATCATCGATCCGCGAGCAACCGAACCCTCCAAAGCAACATCCACACAGCCGCGAACTCCCGCACCGTGCTATGGGCCCGACGTAAGGACGAACTCCACCGCCCCTGGGGGGTCAGAAAGCCCCAGCCCAGAGACAACGCATCCATAAACACATTGAGTGAGGGCACGGGTAGGCGCCAAGACACTGAACCCTGAAAACCCAAAGAGGAAGCCGGCAACGCAACAGCCGATTTAAGGCCCCTGGAGATCGAACCCAGTGATCACGAGAAAGGCGGAAGGGACATCCCCGAAAGAACCAGAACAGCCGGCGAAGCTAAACCTGCCCCGGTGGGTAGACCATCACGGCAAAGTTCCGACTCCCACACAAACCCTTGAGAAACTGCCTCATGACCCGGGAGCCGCCCAGAAACAGATGAAGGTGAAACCACAGCTACAGCAGTGCCTCTGAAGGGAGAGAAAAAAAAGCGGTTTGAGAGTCCCAAACAAGACCCAGTCAAGATCGAATCTGAGAAGGAACCAGATGGGACTTCCACTAGTTCACCAGGAACCCAAACCCGGCAAACTGGGAAAGAACCAAATCTCTAGTGAGCAGACTGGCTGGGAATCCACACCAGCCAGTCGTCGAGGTAGGCCAGAACCCGAACACCTAAGAGATGTAGATGGGCCACCACGACCCTGGTAAGGCATGTGAACACGCGAGATGCCAGATTCAAGCTGAAAGGAAAGCAATGAAAGCAGTAAGCCTGATTCCCCATAATAAAACCGAGCCCGTTCCTGAACCCCGGGATGAATCAGGACATGCCAATACGTGTCACAGAGGTCCAGGGACATCATTCAAGCGCCCAGCTCCAAGAGAAGACAGACCTGGGACAGAGTAGTCATCCGAAAGGAGGGGCAATAGATCCAGAGGTTTAGATGAGACAAGTCCAGTATGAACCGCAGGTCTGCGCAGTCCTGTTTCGGAACATGAAATAGGCGGGAAATTCACTTGAGGGAGGAGGACATTTTGATCACACCCAAGCGAACCCACTACAAGATGACCTGATAAAGCGCATGAGAGGAGGCCTGCCCTGCAAGCCCTGCCAGCCCGAACCCCAAAAAGAGGGAGGGGACACCCAAAGCCACCACAGGCCACAAGAAACGACCTGAAATGCCCACAAATTGTGAGACCTGGCGTGGGCGAACAGAGCGAGCCTCACCTCTATCGCCCCGTAAATGGGACGAACTGTGAAAGGGCCGATGCCCCTTACACAAAGCCGACCTACAAGCAGAGCCATCACCATGCCGACCAGTCGTCACCGGTTCCGAAGGCTGCGCCAGCTCCAAAGCTGGCACCACCGGCCTATCTCAACGGGAGGAACCTCGAGCCCTGGCACGACCCTTCCAAGAAGACCCCCCCCCCCATGGGCCACCCCGAAGAACCAACAAGTCTGACATGGGACGACAACTCGAAGTCGCCGCTTGCAGATACTACACCACCGCAGACTCTGCAAACAGCAAATAACAAAAAAGATGTAGAAAACCTAAGAGCCAGGGCCCAAACGGATTCCAAGAACTGAGCGAGCACCCCCTGCCGGCACGCGAGATAAGAAGCAAAGAACAGAGATACCGCCTCCAGCAGGATCGGCATAAACAGCTTCAACAGGGCAGCCAACGCCTGCACCGCTGAGATCAGTGCACCAAATCCAGGATCAGCCCTGAGTGCCTCCACGTCCTCCTCAAGTCAGCCCGAAAACAGCTCAACAAGAGAAAAGAAACGCAAGACCGAAGCCAAATGGCCACGGGCGCACAAATCCTCAGCAACCAGGGCAGCCGAATGGAAGGGAACCTGCACGTGTAGCCATACCAGGCCGACATCCCGCGGAAGGGCATAGGCAAACAAATACGCATTGAAACACTCAAACTCGTCTCCCAGGTAAACCTGAACAACCGTAAGAACCTCTTGCCACTCAAGTGTGAGGGACTGACAGAGTGTATGCCACAACCCCAACAAGAAGATAGGACTGTCTGCTAACCAGGACAATTCGAGACCCTCGTAACACACCCAGTAAAAAAAAAAAGAACCAAACTCAATAAGGGCAGGATCCATTATCGAGGCGTAATGCAGATCACATAGGACGTAAGCTGCAATGGTCTCATGCACCTCATGAGGCAGGATGCAGGAGGCCGAAAACCTCCAGAGGGAAGGAACAGAAGTACCCAAGGAACCCGGAACCCGGGGAGGGGTTGATGCCTTATCAAATTCATGCAAGGAGGAGGGCTAAGAAAACCCCACTCTCTGCAGCAACTAGCCCTGCTAAGAGGGTGCCAAAACCCAAGTGGGTTCAAATAGGGCCTAAGCCCCCCCAAAGTCAGCCCCTCCCCTGCCCCGGGAACCTCCACATCAGGACCCGGGGCCGAGCCATTCTTCAAACCCTTTGTCTCAAAAGAAAAATCAGAAGCCGTCGGAAAAACTGGAATGAAGGGGGGCCCACTGGTCAGACCCAGAAGCACCGGCTGGAGGAACAAGCTCGAATGCAACTCCAGATGGGGGCATCCCCTGAAACAACCCGAGTCTCACCACCAACTAAACCCTGCCCCGACACCGATACCCTCAGACGTTTCGGAGGAGGAAGCAAGGGGGGAACAGGACGAACAACAGCATGGGAATGACTACGGGGGGTGAGGACAAAACCAAAGTTGAGGCGACTGACACCCCCAAGTCCGAGTCCCGTAACCAAAACGGGGTATCCGGGTGAGCAAGCAACCTAGCGCGCTACATCAATCTAAAACTCACATGCAACGCCGAAGCTGCCTGCACCTGAATATCAATATAGTAGATTGGGTGAACTGGAGTACATGCAAGCAACATCATTTGCAGGACTATGGGTCGAAGGGTGTCACCGACTCAACAGGCAGCATGACGGAGGCACAACCAGTGATTGTCACCCTGAGACAAGGGGACAGAGCAACATTCAAACTTGCACGAAGCAAGATGGGACCCAGGGGGATGCATCCATTAGACCGCTAAGCCCCAGTGGGGTTTTCCAGGGCCCTTAAATGCTCTGCTAAGGGATGCCCAGGCAAGGTACTGCTAACTGGCGTCCCAAACTACCCAATGAACTGCTAAAAGTTGAACCCCCTGTACACACACACACACATTGGGAGCTACACCAATAGACGAAGTCCACCAAAAATATAATTAGATAAGGGTCTACAACACCAGCTGTAGAGCTGCACAGACGGCGGCGCGGTAACAGTTGTGACATCATGCCCATTTGCTCGCTTTTCATTTGGGAAGTTCTGTCCAATACTTCAGCTTTCGGTAGCAATTTTTAACCAGATAGGGGTTTGTTTTAGGGCGCCTACCTTTCTGGGTGCCTGACCCGGTTGATGGCAGACATAGAATGCTTCCAACCACATGGGGGGTTTCAATAGGCCATTGCTCCTCGTGCCTCTCCGAGGGGTCCCAAGTTCTGGCTCATAGTCCCCGGTAGGCCTTGAACTCCATTTGCCTTGACTGATGCCAGGGGTCTAATACTTTTGCATCAGCTCGGATAACTCTAGGGGGAGCCAAAGGGACCCCCCCCCCTCCCAAAAAAGTACCGTATTTGCCAGCGTAAAAGATGCACCATTGCATAGGACACACAACACCCCTATTTTACAAGGATATTTTGTGAATAAAAACTATTTTCGTATGTTTCATCATACATTCATTGAAAGATGTTTTAAAGTGGATTTTGTACCCCAACTCTTACCTCCTCTAAGATCAACTGTGGAGTAGTTGTTTATATTTTGAGCAAGAGAATTGCTATATAGGATGTGAAACTTGTATTTTTGGATGTGATGTTTTATTGCTGCATCAGGCCAACAGGTTGGCACACCCGGCAGTGGCACACCATCACAGCGCTCTGGTGTTGTCATTCACGCAATGCAAATGGCTGACAGGCTAATGGAAGTTGAATATTCCTCTCAAATTTCAAGGATCATTTTTTTTTTTTTTTTTGAGATATATACAAGAGTTGTTACATTCTTGTACAGCCACTAGTACGCGTAGCGTTTCGGGCAGGTCCCTGGAATACGATCCCCGCCGCGAAGAATCGTTTTTTCATCCAAGTACACATTTTACTGTTGCGTTAAACAGAGGCTACAGTTAAGGAATTGCGCCCAGTAAATCCTCCCCGGCCAAGATACGAACCCATGACATAGCGCTCGCGGAACGCCAGGCGAGTGTCTTACCACTACACCACGGAGACTGGTGGACTGGTGGACCGGAGACTTTTTCCTTTAGATAATGAATAAATGTGTCTTAAAAGTAATGCAGTCATTAAATAATGTATGCCATATCAGGTGTGGGTTATGTATACAGGGTAAGAAGAAGTGAGCTTCCTATATAACTGCTGACGTCTCATAAGTTTGCAAAACAGACAGTGATAATAAAATGTTAAAAACAAGCCAGGTTATTATCAACGATTTTTGTGCCTAGTAAACTTACCAGTATGCTCGTCTGGCTCCCTATCCTATGCCCCTCGGTCACCCATCTGTAATGCAGCCGCATTAGACGTAGGGCACTTTTTTGATACATTTAAAAATAATCACAGTGCATTTTATATGCTGGCAAATACAGTATATAGTCACCATAGTATTAAGTACTGCAGTCTGCTGTACTGGCCACAGAGGATGGAAATCCCTGAGCTCCAAATATATGAGTCACAGCTCTGTGCAAGGTAGAAACTTGTGCATTTAATCTATTACCATTACATTTGAAAAAATATCTAATAAAATAACCGGAAATTAGATTCATTATTAATATACTGCAAATTATACTGTTGCTGCTACCAAACTTAATTCTTAATTCATGATTCGTGATAACAGAATAAAAATAGTTTAGCATAATTTCTATTGATATTACCTTGCTCAACTCCTTAACGGCAGCGTTCCCCCTTCCTTCATCACGAGCCGTCAGATAAACTATACCATCAAACTTGGCACACAGCTCTTTCACTATACCAAATCCAATGCCTTTGTTGGCCCCCGTCACCTGGTGAAAATATTACATCTTATTATAAAACATAATTTAACTAATGAATTAAAATTCCCATAGTCAGTTATTGTGATGTCACTTTCCCAACACTGACCAATGTATTGCACTCACCAAAATCTTGTTTGTAAATATAGCAAACAAATCAAAACTCCTGTGGGTATATCGGGCTTACATCCTGTTCTTCAGAACCCCCAGGAAATGGACACCATCTTGACAGAAGAAGTCTGCATTCCACCTGGCTGTGAGAACCTCAGTACTGAGAGCACAACCAAGGCTGGTGTATGCAGGAGAAGCTCATAGCACTGCAGTGCAGCTCAGGGCCCATCACCAAGCTGGTGGTGATTTATTCAATAATGATGAATAAATTATGTAGCTGTGATTATTTTGCAATGATAATGTCATAGATGATCCTGACCATGATAAAAACATGTGCACAGTTCAGATACCAGTGAACACAATGCTACTAATGATGTTCACAGCACAAGGCACACAGCCACAGCACTGAGCCATTGTTTCATGCATCTATGCATTATGAAACATCATCAAAGTCCTTTAGAAAATAATCTTGGGGAAAATTATTGCATTCAGAATTTCGTGATCAGGATTCTTATAATAACAGCATGTGCATGCTATATTGGAGGCATTTTGCCAAGTCAGCTGGCGTCGACATCCGACTAGCATGTTGACACTGAGCCCAAGCTCGACTGTGCTCGCTGTACTCAAAATTATGGTGTGCATATTAGTGATTCAATTATTATGTTCATAAAACAATAAACAAATAGTTTTGCTGTTATTACACTATATACACTATATATATATACTATTGTTATGATCTCAGCCTACAGGAGAAATGAGTCTCCCCCCTTGAGAGTTATTCAGCAAGCCTGACCTAACCAGAAGGTCTAAGAAATATAGAGGTGATAACACATATGAAAATAGCTGGTTGGATATGATGAACAATTTAAGATTATGGGCAGTGAAGAAGAAAACAGATAAATGACTGGCTAGGAGATGTGGACATTTTGTTGGAGGCGTGAGGCTCGCTTCTGGAGGGCTTTGACCTCACTTGAGGCCAGACATCGCAGGGGGAAAGCCGCGCTCCGTTTGAGCTCCCATCAGAAAGGAACCCCTAGTGATATATCTCCAAGATAAGAAAAGTGTGTAGACGTGCCAGCTGTAGAATCGAGCTGGGAACGTTGTGGTCTCAAGTCCTGGTCGACGAGGAGAGAATTAAGCCGCCCAGACACATTTTCGTGGGCTGTGGAATCGCCCTGACCAGGCTTCGTCAGAGGGAGGAGCGCCCTCGATCAGATAATCTGTGGTAAGCACGATATACGCCAGTTCATAGTGATTGCTTGTAGTTGGTCGTGTGCCCAGCGACAGTAGCGATGCTTATTTATAAGTTAGAAATGTTTTGGTAAGGCAGGAAGCCTAAAATAAGAGAGTGGAGAGGGAGGAACACGGAGCGACAGCCGTCTCCTCCGAGCGCTGGCAGGCAACTGAGGGAGCCCGGCTCCTGACGGCGGAGGACCCTCCCAGTGTGACTCTCACCCGCCAGGCGAGGTGGAGCATGGACCCGCCCAACGGGGGAGTCCACTCTCACTGTATGTAGAGGACAGATAGAGGTTTGAGGCAAACATATTGTGTGATTATTTTTGTTTGTGTGTTAGAGGGGAAACATTTTTATTGGAGTGTCGATAGGTTGCAGGTTTGTCTTTGAGGAAGAAGTTGCTGAGAACTTCGAAGCCAGCACAGATGAAGTAGTTGATGAGACTCCAAGGTAGTGGAGGAGAGGACCTCGAGCTGTGAGGAGAAGCAGTGAAGAGGAGTGTCACGTGCTTCTGTAGAGGTGGTGAAGCACCATAGTTGCTCGAGGAAACTTCATGGTATAGCAGCCAAGAGAGCTGTGGAGGACCCTAGCAGAAGGGTGAAGCACCGTAGTTGCGCAAGGAAACTTCATGGTAGCAGCCTGGAGGAACTGCAGAGGATCCTGGTAGTGAAGCCCGGAAGAACCTAAAGATATCAGGGTAGTGAACTTCCGGAGGTGGAAGGGAAGTTCTGGTGGATTACTTGTAGGGAGTTGATAGTGTTTGGTTGTCATTAGCGTGCAAGACGCAGTGAGAGGTGAGTGATTGTTTGCATTCTTATGTCAAGGAGTGTTTTATACTGAAGTTTAGAGTTACGATCGTAGGCTGGATTACCTACAGATGTATGTGTTCTAGGACTGATGGAGTGATCGATTGTTGATCATTGTTGTGTATGATGGAACATTTATACTGATATATGTTATTGCATTCACAGGCTGATTTTCTTTGTACACATTTATAGATACATATATATATTCTCTTGCTGATGGTGCAACAGTGTATGTAGACTTGATCAACTTGAGGAGGTTGATAGTATCAGGTGGTGAACCAGGAGATAGGATACCACTTGGTAAACTGATAATAGTTCTGATGGTGTTGGAGAGCAACCTGATTGTAATAGTATAGAGTATAGGATTCATTATTATTATATGTGTATATGTATTGTGTATGTGCTCTATCCAGTAAATGTATTCAAATTTGCTGGTATTTGACCTTGACCTAGTGAGGCTTCCCATGAAATAGTACAGAAGGAGAGAGAGAGAGACAGAACCAAGAACCACTGCTGTGGACAGGGTAGAAGGTAATACTGTATCCCCGCGATTATCCGGGATTCAAACATCCAGAAAACGCCCTTATACGGCCAAAATCGTGATCGGATAAAGTTATCACAATATCTGGCCAAAATGGTCACAGGAACTGGATGAAAGATGGTTTGGCTGGATGAAAATTCGGCCATACCGTATTAATCCCGTCTGTGGCTCTAAACGCATGGTGGAGGAGGGGGTGGGGTTAGTGGGTGGTGTCGTGAGGGTGGGAGGGGTGTGTCGGGAGGGACCACCTGGGTACAGGAATTGCCATTAATTTTAGAACAGTTAATCATAGCCAAAAACAAATGAAATAAGTACTAATAATTATGTAATAACAAATAAATAAGTTTCCTAAAAGCAATGTGCACAGGCTGAAGTTTCCTTCAAAAATATTGAGTTTTTTCCTCCTGGCGGCCTACGTAATGTGCTATAGTTGCCCCACCCCAAGTGGACCCGTCCAACTCGGGTCAACCCATGTGCGTCCGTCCCTCGTGTTATACACAGTGCTGTAAATTGTTAAGAATTCTTAACTTCAAGATGTGTGGCATCAATCAAGAAGACAAACTCCAACAAGGTAAGTTGAGGTTTCTAGATGAATATTTAATAATTATATGTGGCAAGGCAATTCAAATTATGTTGTTTGTAGTATAAAAATAGTTGGAAATGGTCACTTTTGGACTCGTAGGTGATAAAGTACCATTATCCGAAAAATGTGATAATCCGGCTGGGGGTCCTTCCCATAAGTACAGTGGTACCTCGCATAACGATTGCCCCAAAAGACGAATATTTTGGGTAACGAACGGCCCGATCGACGTCAAATCGTCCCGTATGACGAACGCTGGTTTGAGTAACGTCAACACCACATGGTGGGGTCGCGCTGCTTCTTGCACATTCTTAGACGCCTCCGACGATGCACATAAATTATGTTGTTCTTGTTTAAAGATGCTAATGATGCTGGGATATAAAAGGGTGACTGCTGAGATGTTGCAAAGCATTGACGTTTTTGTAGGAAAAAAGAAATGAAATGTCTGATATACAACAAATGTCAAAAAAGTTCGTTCGGTGTTCGGCAGGTAGGCTGCTCCATTATAACAATCTTTCTTTGTTTCAAATGTGTTCCATTTGTTTTTTATTTGTCATTTGCGTCTCAATAATGGAGAAGCCTACCTTACATACACTGAATAAACCATTATGACATTTTCCTTTCTTCAAATGTGTTCAATATTTATTTTTCATTTGTCTTATAGCAAAAGGTTCGTTCGGTGGTCGGCAGGTAGGCTGCTCCATGTTTCTTACATACAAAAAACGTAAATAATAAAAAAAATGAAGAATTTTGAAAACCAGTACAAATGTCAAAAAGGTTCGTTCGGTGGTCTACAGGTCGGCTGCTCCATGTTTCTTAAAAAAAAAAAAAAACGAAAAATAAAAGAACTGTTGAAACAATTTGAAAAATGGACAAATGTCATAAAGGTTCGTTCAGTGTTTGTCGGGTAGGCTGCTCCATTATTGAGACGTAAGTGACAAATACAAAACAAATGGAACACATTTGAAACAAAGAAAGATTGTCATAATGGAGCAGCCTACCCAACAAACACTGAACGAACCTTTTGCCATAACGAATATGAAAGACAAGGGCTGCTGGCTGGGTTAGTACTGCGTGAGCAACCATTTGTGGCACACGTGCCTCTGGCTCTCAAACACCTGTCCCACACGGTGTTGAAAGACTGTGCTCAGTCGGTGCAATTCAGACCCTATTGTTTGAAGAACATAAGGGTCATAACATTGGTGAAGCTAGGCGCAATAAGGGCTTAACACAACGGTCGGATGCCAGTGATACAGCACCTATGAGGATGATACAGCAAGCGTATCCAGGTGTAGCTCTGAGCCCCACCCTTGCCATCTCTAATGTATATAGATGATACATAGATGAATCGTTGTCTGCGTTCAGTGATGATGCATCTGATACAAGTAGCATAGATTAACAGTGTTAGCGGCTTCCATGGTGGTGGTGTTCATTGATATTTTCAAGAATACCTGAATCTTTTCCTGACTGATGGACACTCTTTGAGGCTAGCTGAATCTCTTCCTGACTGATGGACACTGTTTGAGGCTAGCTGAATCTCTTCCTGTGTGGGACCTTACAAAGCGATCTTTTCAAGACTACCTTACAAATTGAGCTTTTCCTATAATCGTTTCAATACTACTTTATGCTTTACAAGCTTGGTTACATACCACCTACAAGTACTAAAGCCAAGGGTGCACGCGAGTGCGTTATTTGCAAGCACACAGAACGATGAAACAGGAAACAAAAATCTATCTGTAG